AGGGCAGTCACATCCAAGACTCGTGCCCAGCTGTGTTGGTACCGTGGCAGCCTTGTCCCCACCACAGCGACTGTTCTGTCATGGCCTTGCTCGCACCGCCAGCCCTCCCTGGGCAGGAGGTGCCTCTGCTCCTGCCTGTGCTTCCAGCGTGGTTGGGGAGTGAGCAGGGAGATTGTCACAGCAGCTGGGGCACTGGTCCTGGCTGTGAGCGAGGGCTGCTTCTGCTGTAGCCTGACAGGGAGTGAGGCAGTCCTGGGAAAGCTGCCCCACAGCAGTCCCTGGCTCGGGGCTGCTGGTGGGACTTGTGCAGGGGTGAGCAGGAGACCTGCCTGGCACAGGAGAGCTCTCGCCTGGGTTTCCTTGTGTGTTGTGTTGTGGCAGGCACCTGCATGGAGTCTCCCACTCAGGGCACAGCCCCTGTGCATTTCCAAGGGCTGAGATGATACCGTGTAGCTCCTTACTCAGCTGAGGCAGGGGGTGACTGCAGAGCTGCTGTGGCATTTACTCGATTCATCCTTACATCCAGCACCAGGTGGACTTGGGCTGCCAAACCCTCCCCAGGCTGTGAGCTGGACCCTTTGTGAGGTGTATGTGTCAGGCGTGAGATCTCAGAGATGTCCAGTGCTACTTCTGGAGATGCTCCAGAGGTAGCACTGGAAAGTTGTGTTCCTTTCCAGCCAGACCCTCTTGCCTTGCTGTCACCCTGCTCCTTCTGCTGGGTCCCTGGGATGTACCAGGCTTGGCTGTGGCTCAGGCTCCATCCCGGTGAGTTCTGGAGCTGTGCTCTTGTGTGCAGTGTGGATGCACCACTCCAAGGGTGCAGCTCGTTGTGTTGCCCTTTCTGCAAAGTCACAAGCTGGTACTGAGCAGTTTTCCCAAGGGATCCAGTTGATCCAGAGCTGTGTCTCTTAGCTGGGAGCAGTCATCATCTCTCCAGGGCTGTCCCTGTGTGGCTGCAGGGCGAGTGAGTGAGAGCAGCTAGGAGCTGAGCAGGAGCAAGAGGGAGAGCACAGCCAAGCTGTCCATCAGCAGTGGCTGTGGGTGCTTGTGGGGCCCTGGCTGAGGCCATCACTTCCCAAGGTGACACTGCCTCCAGGATGCTGCCCTGTGGGGGCAGGTGGGCTGGTCGGGGTGGAGTGGCTTCACAAACTGCTGCTAGAATTGAAAGCACAGCTGGGTCTGAGAGGCTGGGGAGCTGCTGCTTGGCTATTTCCTGGTGGTGTGATCCTGCCCTGGTCCATCCACCCCTGCCATGCCACCGTGCAGCTGGTACCACTCACAGGCCTGATTGCAGCAGGCGAGCCCATCCAAGGCTGTGGATCTCACTTATGGCAGCAGTGCTCTGGGGTCGTGGGGTGGGAACTGGGCAAGCTGGGCAAAAGTAACACTTGTACAGTGCTGTGGCCGTGACTGTTATCTCTGGATTTCCCCTCTTGTGAGCTGGAGTCAGATCTCTGAGGTTATATTTATAGGCAGGTTTGTTCCAGATTTGGGGAGGAGGAGGCTGCAGAGTCGATCAAGGACATTGTAGATGTGTTGCTGGTTGTTGGCAAGTGGAGGCAGGTCTGGATGTGCCACAGGTGATCCTTGCTGCTGTGTCTGTGCTCCTTTCGTTGGCGTGTGTCCGTGGCTCTCTTGAAGCCAATTGTCTGCATTTCAGCAACAAATTCATAGGAAATGGGGAGGGATGAGCTGCTGCTATGGAGTTGTTGCTTGTAGAGCAGACTGTGGAATTGCTTGGGTTGTAGAAGAGGTAGGACATTTTCCAGAAAATTTCCCAAAATACTGATTTTAAATAATTTTTAATTTCCGATCCTGAGGCTCTAGTCTTGGCATGGAAGTGTTTTCCCTTCCCCCTCTGCCAAGTTAGTGGTTTGTCACACTGGTGTGTGCACCCAGGGGAAGAAGGTGGGTCAGAAGAGCAATCCCAGTGGTCCCAGTGCCCTCCAGGTTTGTGGACCGTGTGCCTTGTTTTGCTGTCCATGGGACAGCAGTGGGCAGGACAGAGCAGAGATGGATGTGACAGCCCGAGGCAGCTGCTGCTGGCTCACACCTGTCTTCCTGCAGGGAAGGGAGCACAGGACCATTCCCTCCTGCTCCGTGCCAGGGTGGTGCTGGCAGAGGGCAGGGAGCTCCCCGGGTGCGTGGTCTGTGCCCAGCTGGGTCATGAGTGGCTGCAGCAAGGCTCATGTCCCCACTGGGTAAAGGGACAGCTCTCCAGAGGGGCTTTGGGTTTGAGGAAGCTCTTGCCCTTCTGCAGAGCAGGGAGTTAGGCCTTGCTTTTAGTTTGAATGCCTCAGCTCCACCATGTGTAGTGCTTTTTTGAATTTTGGAGGACTGAGTGGTTGCACACATGCTCCTGTGAGTGCTGATTGTCCCACAGCCCACGAGAGCTGCATGGTGCTGGTGTCCAGCCACTGGCAGAGCCTGGGGGGAGCCCCAGCTGCTTCTGGAAAGGCTGAGGGAGGCTGAGTCAGGGGAGCATTCCTCATCCTGCCCCTCTTCTCAGGAGGTCCTCCTTGCCGAGGTTAACTTGTTTAGAGTGCAGGTGGCTGCAACAGGTACAGAGCTGTGGTGTGGGGTCAGAGTGGAGGTGGAAGGTGTGGTTTTGAGGAGGCTTTGTTGCTTTGCTGTGCTCATTTGGGAAAAAAAAAAAATTAAAAAGTAATGCTGCTGCTCTGGTTTTCCCTGTCCATCTCTTCTGCTGCCCCCCTGGCACCTCTGATGGCACCTTCTCACTGTAGCCCATGGAGTCCCTGAGTTTTGGCACCTGCTGGGGACTGATTGTTGTACTGTAACAAACTGATGTGTTTAACCTCAGTGTCCTGCCACGTTCCACGTGGCAGTGCAGAGGGGGCCTTCTAGCTGTTAATGCCTTCCCAGTTGTTTTATCAAAAGGAACAAAAAACAAAAAACAAAAAAAAAAACAAAAAACTGTAAATGTAGCAAGCTGTGTTTGCAATGCTTATTGTCTTCTGTCTCTGAGGCTGGTTATGTCACTTGTCACTGTTTGAAATGGATGCTGGGCTCTTCCTGAGAGGTTGTTACATTTGATGTTAAATGCCTCACTGACTTTTTTAAAATATTCCAATACAGGTAACAGATAAAAGAGTTTCTTTCATTTTTCTTTTTCTAAGCAAATGTTCATCTCGGTGGCGTGGAGCGGGTGGCTGGAGGGCAGCATTTCCAGGAGTAGTTTACAGTTTCACTTTCTGCAGACACTTGAACATAGGACCGATGTATCTGTGACAAGCACATCCCCTTGGTGGGAAGCTGCAGAGGAGCAGGGGGTGCCCTGGGTGCCAGCTGGCCCCTGTGGAGCATGCTGGGGTCCCTCCAGCTCTCCACACTGTCCTCCTGCTCTCTCCCCAGGTGGCAGCCCTGCACCGGGGTGGCTTGTGCCAGTGGTGCTCCTCGTGGGAGGCAGTGCTTGGCACCACTTGGTCCCTCAAGCCTCCCTGGTGAAGCCTCCCTGGTGCAGCCCTGCTCCCCATCTTCCCCCCCAGCCTGTCCTGGTCCCACTGGGCTTGGAAACCTTGGATTTGTGGCTCAGAGACACCCACTGAGCTGCGTCCCAGCGAGTGCAGCCTTCTGCTTGCTCGCCTGGAGCTAAAGGGGTGATGGTTCGATGTGCTGGCCCTTCTCAAACCCTGTGTGTCCAACCTCAGCCTTCTGTTTCCCAAAACTAGAGAGTGTGTGCAACCTTCTTCAGCTGCATTTATAGTAGAGACAAACTTAAAATGACTCATCACAGACCATGTATCACTTGGGAGGAAAATCTTGTTAATACGGCCTGCTGTACATGATCCATCTCTGTCGATAGTACATAATCTTTGACCCATGTGCTAGGATCATCATCACGTATAAAAGGAAAAGAGAAAAATGTAAAATACTTGAATGAGAGCTTGTATTATAACATTAATATTATTCAGAGTATCTGCTTTCTAGGCTGATGTGATTCATTATTCTAGTAATGCTTTAGTCCTTTGTAATTTGTGGTAATTATGCTTTTTCCTTTTTAATACAAAAAAAATGTATAAAAATAAAAAGTTCAAAAGACAGTGGTGCCTGAGTTTTCTGTTCTGCTGACTTGCCCTCCCCAGGGAACTGTGCCCAGGTAACTGGGCTGGGTTCATCCTGGTGCAGTTGTGGGGACTGGAGAGGAGCAGGGGAAGTGGCTTTGGTTCCACAGGTAGAGCTGGACTGACCAATGGTCAGTGCAGCACAGGTCAGCCCTGTGTGCCTGTTCCTCGAGGGGCTGCTCTAGCACTGGGAGAAATGTGATGTTTTTGTTGCAGGCTTCCCAGGCAGGACTGAGACGTAGGAAGATCCTTGAGAGAATCCACAGTATGTCTTGGATGCTCTGTGGGTACGTGGCAATGTGCATATTGTTCTGGGGGCTGCTTTCTTGGCTCCTTTCTTAGAGGGGTTCCTTAATCTCCACACAGCTCAGGACAGCAGGGACTCTGCTTTCCTTGGAAAATCTCTGGAATTTATGAGAATTTTGGTTGTGCCTCAGAGCGAGGGGAGGCTCAGCAGGAGGAGGAGATGAAGCACATCAGCTCCCAGCTCTCCTTCCATGTCCCACAAGGGAAAACTCCCTTTGTGTGCAGCTGTCTGTGGAGCAGTGATGAGGCTGTGGCAGCCCCACTTCAGCCCTGTACTCACCTCCTGTGCATAACAGCTGCTCACAGGAAGTCAGGCCTTGTTGCATGTGAAGGGAGTGTTTCTAAAGCTGTGGCCCCAGTGATTTTCCACGGGGTTGTGTCCTGTGTCCCAGGTGCTCTGAGTCACAAAAGCTTGTGTTAATTGTATCACACATAGATGGAGTGACTTTGATGTTTCTGTAGAGTGAGTGCTGACAAGAGATGCCAAATAATCACCTGTGGAGTCTGGTGCTAAAACCTTAATAATGAGAACCCTGAGCCATGTGGCCCAGAACACACTGGGCTCCTACACAGGCAGCTGGCACCAAGACAGGGCAAGTAACAGATAAACCATTAAATTTTAAAAACAGATTTCTAGAGCAGTTTTTTTTATAAGTGTCTTATATAGTAAACAATGGCAACAAAAGTGCAGTAGTTTCAAAGCAGCATATTTAACTTCAGCTTCATGATCTGTGTGGACAAGAATTTGTTTCCTGATTAAAATACTATTTGGCATAAATCATTGTCTCTCACTCTGCTCATCACCAGGGTGGGCAAGAGCTGCTGAGCTGGTTCACTCCTCTTTTTTGGGTGGATCTGGGATGCTTTCAGAGAGTGGTGTGAGACTGAGCAGGACCTTGTGTCTCTGGAAGGCTTTGGTCTGTCTGAACATTTTGTCCGTGCCATGCAGGAAATCCAGCACTCCCAGCACTCCGTAGCACTGGTTGAACCTGAGAACCAAACACAGATAAGCATCACTGGAAGTTACTGAGGTCACCTTGCCCTTTCTCTTTCCATTCCTTTCTCAACCCTGATAATCTGTCCATGGGATTTCTGCCCCTGCAGTCTCCCTGGCAGCTCTATCGAAGCCTGGGCGAACCTTGTGCAGCTTCTCTCTGGTGCCATCATTGCCCAGAAATGGTGGCACTTCTCCTGGGCAACTCAGACCTGTGGGAGCATTGGACACCCACGTTACCAAGCCCCACATGCTCTCTAGACTTGGCTGTCCTGGGATATGGAGCAGATGTGCTTCCAGCTGGCACAGCTGTTCCACCCAGAGTGTCTTGGCTCTGCAGCGATCCCTGTCCTGGCATGTGGTGACTGAACTGTGCCCTGGGCTGGTTCTGCAGCAGGGCAGACATTTCTGGGCAGCATGTCTGAATGTGGGGCACGCTGGGAGATGGGAATGTTTCTCCACTGCTCGGGTATGTATCCTTGAACAGTCTGCTGCAACTGCTCTCTCTCTCCAGCACAGGAGGCTGAGAATCTCTGTCAGGAAGGGTTCACGGTGATTGAGCAAAGTGTAATCTGATCAGTGTTACTGATCCCAGTGTATGGGAGAGGGACAGACAGACAGGCTCGCTTATTTTACCTGTGTGACTTGCCCTGGCTCTGTCCTTAGATCACATGAAGTGTATTCTGAACTTCTAGGAAGAACCTTGCAGAGAACTGTCCTTAACAGGGCTGGAATGCCTTGAAATCCCAGTTTAACTGCTCTAAGAACTGGCAGCACTCAGCCTGCTCTCAGGTGAACTGGAGAGCTGCTCTGCTGGTGCATGAGTTAGGCAGACCCTCTTGACCCTCAGAAAGGAGCTTTCCTTGCCAGTGGAGAGGCAGGAGAAAGGAAAGCTGAGCAGTGCCCAGACATACTTGAGGTGGTGGAAGTCGTGGAACTCTGGAGATGGCAGGAGGGGCAGGTGGTAGCCACAGTGAGAAATGCTTGTTGTTACAAGAGCAATGGAGAACCATGCTGAGACTGAAACAATATGAGATCCCATAATCATCGGGCCAGTCATCACAGGCAGAGTGTTGGAGACCTGGAAATGAGAAGAAAGTACCTCATTAATGGGTCCACTACAAGCAGACTCTCCAATAGGAGCTGAATTGTCACCTGGTGATCCATCACTGGTTTGTTTTATGCAAACAGTGTAAAGGGAAGAGCTCTCTGCAAACACCTTACTAAAGTAACATAATCATCCAAAAAGTGATAAGAGAGTTCTACTACTGCAAACCATTGCCATAGCCCAAGCTCCATAAGCCTGCAGTAGAAGTTAGACATGACTCCAAACCCTGGGTGAGTACAGCACGATTCCAGTAAATCACCCTGGAGTCTGAGCTGTGAATTCCAGCTTCACGTTGGAATAATGCTGAATCTGCCCTTGGGGAAACCTCACTGTGAAAGGGCATGGCCTGCAGACACACACAGCAATGTGACAAACCCTGCTGCAGCTCTTCACTTGTTCTGCTTGTGGCACAAATGGCTCTGGCTGCCCAGACCCAGCTGCATGCACCAGCACGGCTCAGCTGGGCTCCTCAATCATTATGCTGTCCAAAGACTCAGCTGGGGAGACCCTCAGAGCAGCCCAGGACTATTGGTAACAAGAGATGGAATTTTTAAGTGGAATATTTGAAGGTGGGATGTGTTTTCCTGAGAAGTCTCAGCTGGAGGGGTGTTGGGATACACTCCTTGCAAACACTGATGCCAGCAACCACCACAATAATCCTGACAGATTTCCAAGTACACACAATCCCTCAGGCTGTGTCATACCTCTTGCTGAAAGCACTGTCTGTGCTCCCAGTCCTCTTGGGGCTCATGGGAAGTCCTGTCCAGTCAGTTCCTTATCTACTGGAGGCCCTTGGATCTGTGCTCTGAAAGCTACTGGAGTCCAGTATAAACAATTACTGCAACCCTCCAAGAGCCAAGCTTCTTGGCAATGCAGCTGAGCTTCCTCTTCCTAAGGAAGAAGCCTCTAAGGGCATATTTTCTTCTCTTCTCTTACCACTCCACCTCATGCCATGGAAACCATACTCCACAGAGCAACTGGAGGGTGACCATGGGAGAATCCACTTACTATGTGCTCTATTGGGTGAGCATAAATGGAGACCACACCGATGGGGGCTGTCCACTCGTGGTGCTTCTTGTGAATGTGCTTATAGAGCACTGGGTGGTGAACAAGCCTAGGCAGAGTAAACAGAAAGGCAGGTTTTGAGCTCTGCAAAAAAGGAGTAACAGAACACAGAATTTCTGTAGGGGACTTGCTTGTGTCTCCGCTAACATAAAGATTTCAGAGCAGCTGGCAGTAAAAGTGTAGGATTCCTTGCTTCCTTTGCTCTCTTTGCATTGAGCCCTTATTCACTTAATGTGTCTGCTGGCTTATGATAAACTCAGGCCAGAAAAATCCCATAAATCATAGTCCCTGAATTACTTAATTTATTCAAATCTGGGAGTACTATTACGGGAAGACTCACTTTATGCTTTCACTGTTTTGACTTTTTCTACTGGCAACTGTCAAAGAATCAGAATTTTCAGTTCCATGGGTCCTTTGTAACAAACACCATTTCCATTTTTCAGGTGCATTTGTCCTAAAGGGAAACCTACAGATTTCTGAGAGTACTGTGCTTGCTTCTGCTTCTTTTCTTTTCCTTGCTTTTAGTTCTGTCCTCTAATGTTGGTGTCAGTGTTTGGAAATCCTGCAGTGTTGGAAGTCAGGCCCTAATTTGTAGGTGCTGTACAAGGGAACAGAGATCAGTCGCTGACCCTTGAGATTTTTGTGTTTCAGGCTAGTCGGTCTTGTTCTTTTCAAAGAATGCTGGGTTACAACTTCTGTGGAAAACTGCCTGTTCTGTTTCTTCCTTAGCTTTTAAGCTGTTACACCTTTAAAATTCTACCCATTTTTGTTTACTACAGTTACTGGCAGCACCAAGGCCTCATGTTGTGAGGGTGGATTTCAGGACCTGTAAGATTTCCCGTATAAATACAAAACTGGTGGAACAGAGGGACAAGGATTATTGCTGTTGTAGGGTATGAGTACAAACTTAAAGGCATGGGGGAAAATCAAGCACCTGTTCCTGTGCTCAGCTCACCTGTGTGTATAATAGAAGAGAATTTCCTCTACTACAGTAAAAATGCTTAGCTCCACAAGAAACCATTGGAAGGTTGGTAATTCCTTGCTGAAGGTGTTTTCCCACCATTGCATGATGTAGAACATGGGCACAAGCATGGGAAAGGAGACAAAGAACTGATTACCCAGCGCTGTGTAGATGGCTTTCCACAGTTTCTTTCTGTCCACCTGCAAAAGAGAAGTCAGGACTTGAGACTAAGAAAGAAACAATGCAGTTTTAGTTGGAAGAATGAAAAGCTTTAAGATTTGTAGGCAGTTAGTTTTGGGATCAGCTCTTTAACAAGCAGTCAATGCAGATCTGATCAGTAGCCTCATAACAGGATCTGCCTTCCTCCTTACAGTGGGTGTACAAGACTTGACTTGATCCTCCTGGAATCCTATCTGGTTGCAAGAGAAAAGCATAACAGGTTCTTCTCCCCATTCCTGGCCTAAGAGACTGCAGGAAGTGTTTAGCCAGCAGAGAAGGCAGAGGGAGAAGTACTTACAGGATCATTCTTGCCCAGCTGAATGCGATAGCGAGTAATGAAAGTTGGCTTTCCTGTTATATCAGCCACCAGAAGGATTCCATTGAAGCCCCAGAAAGCAAGTGCAGGCACCAATGCAGCCCCTGTGGCATGAGGAAAGGGCAGAGATGTGTGAATGAATTGGGAACTATGGCTAAATCAGAAACAAACTAACTGGCATAGTACCCAGAGGACCTTGCTGGGACCCAGATGTGCCAAGGGTGTGTCCCCTGACTCAGGATGCTTTGAAATGGAATACTGGTACATTCTGACATCCAGGTAAGGTCGAAGAATGGGAAGGAGGTTAGAGCAGGCAAATGTCTCAGAGGTTGAAACTGGACATAACTGAAGCTAAGAAAAGGCTTTTCTAGGTGGCTGGGAGGCCTCTGTTCCTTTTAAATCCAAGTAGGATAAGGATGACTTGATCTCTACCAGTTCTGTTCACCAGCTGCTAATCACAGAAAAGAGTTTTTGTAAGTACTACAGCAAGAGTAGAATTCACTAAATTTACTTATATTTTTAGTAATTAGTTCTACTGAGTCATTCAGTTCTCACAGGAGCACGGTGTCGTCACAGGGAAGCCACTTCAGTAGCAGCAAAAAGATCAGATTTTTAATCCTTACAGGGTCCTGCTGGTGACCCCATCCAAAAGCAGAACAGCTGCACCACATCACCTGTGGGTACCTTCCAAGCCAGTGCTTGTCAGTGGGAGGATTAGTGAGTTTGGGAAGCTTGTCTATGTCTCCCTTTTATATGTAATACATGGATGATTTCTCCTGAGAAGCACTGTTAAAACTCACCAACGAGGAAGATTGTCCACTCATCTCCCTCCATATGGTCGTAGAACTCCAACCATGCTGTTTGCCAGAAATTGCCTACAGTTATATTCTGCATAAACCTGTGGGAATAACAGTGGTTGGTTGCCCATCTATTCATCCACTTTCCCCCCTTTCCACAGCAAAGTTTCTCCTCAAGCTGCTTTGTTTGAACATTCTTACCAAGAAGCAGTGTTCACTAAGGCAGTGAACATGAGCAGGCCTGTACTGAAGACATAGGCAGTGATCCTCAAGGCATCAGAGAGCTTCTTTCCCTGTGAGGAGCAACAAGAGTAAGCACGTGCTGCTGTGTCTTGCCCTGGCATTTTTGGTATTTGAAATGATGAAGGCAGTCCTGTGATGGCCTGTTTTGCTTTACACACACACTCTGAAGAACACAATAACAAAGCTGTTGTGGGATATTGTGTATAATCATCCATCTGTCATGCTTACAGAGATCTGGTGCATGACTGATGTGGAATTTCTTTGGAATAACCAAAGGGAGAGAAAGGACCACTGATTTTTTTTCCCCCCTCTTTATTTGGCATACTGCTCAGTACCTGGAGGGCCATAGCTCCAGGGGCTACTGGATAACTCAGGGCAGTGGGAAAGGAACACCAGCAATAAGGAATGGTGCTCCACCTCAGCACCTCCCTCCCTCAGTATTTTCTCCCTCCCAGGATGCAGTGTTTCCTCCCCACAGCAGTTAAGAACTGCTGTGCTCAGATGACCTGGTTAACAGGAATAAGTTTATTCAAAAAGCAGTCTTCAATATATTTGAATATTTAAATATTTGAAACAAAGTTGTTTATATACAACAAATTTATAATTAACAATCTTTTAGAGTAGTCCAAGTTTGAACTGGTTCTGGAGTGCAATTAATTTGGTTTTAATGAGTGAATATGAATTATATCTATCTGCAATGTAAACTTTTTTTAAAAAATCAATGCAATAGTATAATAACCAGCTATTGTCTTCTTCATTCCTCTGTCCTTCCTGTTTTTTAACTGTGGTGTTGTGCTGCACAAACAGACTGGAGTGAAAACAGTGTGATTCATAGCTGCAGTCCTGCTCACCTCCTGTCAGAGAGGACAAACAAGAGAGGCAGCTCTGAGAAATGCCAAATGCAGGTGGTTTAGGGTAATATAAAGGAATCCTCTTTACATGGCTTTTAGATTCTGTTACAGCTACAGAACATTAAATGTGGCCCAGGACTTATAAGCAATATTTATCTGTCCCAGGACAGAACTTTGCTTTAGCACTGAAACATTCACTACTAAAACAACCAACCAACCATTTTCTCCTATCACATTTTTTTTTTTTTTAATTTAAAAAGCAGACAGGGAGGAAGAAACTGACAGCAGGACTCTTGCCCTACAGTCTGATATTTGTGAACCCTATGGGTTGATATGAGAGCAGTGCAATCAGCTGCCACTGTTATCACTGGAGGTACTGAAGGGCAAATGCCAGGCTGGCAAAAGCCTCTCCTCCAGCATCAGATAGTGCCTGCTGGATCCTGGACCAGAAACTGCTCTCTTAGCAGTTTCATAATTCCAGTTGCATCCATGTTATGTCCCACGTATGCTGATGTAAGACTTTCTTAATCTTTAGACCCAGGACCATCACTTACATATTCTTCCAGAAAAAAAAAAAAAAAAGGTTACAGAAGTTATAGAAAGCTTTGAGCTTTTTAACAAACTCATATCCTAGAAATTGTTTTTCTCCTGGGATGATGAGCATACCAAACAAAATTCTGTCTTGTGTGTCAGAATTTCCAATTAGCTCAAATAAGGTTTCAGTTGCTTTAACATCCCTCAGCTCAAGAGTTTCAAACCTTTGTAACTCCTAATACTCACAGACACTGTGCATGTCCTGCTTTGAGACAGGACAGAGAGGAGCTAAAGCTCAGCACTTCAACTACTTTAACAGCCCTTTGGCTAGAAACTGTCTTGTTTTGAGGCTGTGTTTTTATTGCACATGATGAAGTGATTATATGAATCCCACACACTATAATTACATGAGATGTAGAAGTAGAGCAGTTTACATAGAAAACAAATTTTGTTCACCAAGTCCAAGTGCTTAATACCCTGTTTCTCCTCATGCCAACAGCTACAGCACTGTAGTTTCCAAACTAAATCATGGATTGCTTGAGTTCTTGCTCTTAAAGTTCTTGTAGAAGTTGGCAAATTCCTTAAGAACAGGGTTGCTGCTGGCAAGGTAAAGAGACTGGGGCACATCAGCTGGCCATAAGAGTTTAGAAGGACCAGGCCCAGTGAGGTGGCACAGCTTCTGGTTATGGGGGACTGTGGTGGGTTCTTGCCACTCAAGCATAGATAACAGGTCCTTCCCTACTGGCTGCTGTAGCTGCAGTCCACTGGAAGGGAAAAATGCTGGGGAAGTGTTGCTTTAGTGATAAGAGATGAGCTCCTAATTATGCAAAAATGTTCGGAATGAGGATGTGTCTGTCACTTCTCTTAGAAGGTGATTCTACACATTCAGCGTTCCAAAGCACCTGCATGAGCTTCCTTAAAACGATGAGCTTGAGCCTTTACCTGCTTCTGCAGCTCAGCTGTGGAGGAATATCCAGAGTCTGTTTCCATCTGAAATAAAAGGTGATCTAAGTAAGTGAACTTTGGCCAGCTGGAGAGTGGCAGAATATGATGCAAACAGCAAATCACCTCCACCTGCAGTTCAGTGCTAAAAGTGTAAAATATTTATTCTCTGTACCATGTCCTGTCCTGCTCTATCCTTCGTGTGTTGGCCATGGAGCAAAGCTAAATTCTTGAGAAGAAAAATGCCCTTACTTCTGGAGGGAGTTAGTAGTGTCCCAGAAGATTAACAGGGATGCAAGAATAACAAGGAAAAATGGGAGAACAGCCAAAACCAAAGCTTTTGCTTGTGTCACTGGTGTGTTGTGGTAAGACTTCCACCCTTGATCTGCCCCCGGAATACACTGCAGCACCCAGTAGCTACTCCAGCCCTTCCCAGGCTGTAAGGAAATGATCATGTGGGACATATGTTCTTCCATAATGACAACATGCAATTAAACAACCAGGGATGAAAACAAAGTGAGTTTGGGCCACAGAGAGTTAACACAACGGAGCCCCACAGCCTTCACTCAAACTCTGAGTTACAGTTTAAGAACATGATAAATAAGAAAATAATCTTTGCTTCAAGTCCTGCTGTGGTCACTTAGAGAGGTGAAGTCCTAAATAGGCATGTGGCCATCTCATAATGAGTCTCCCTGCATTTGGCTCTGGCTTGACCATTTGTTGATGGCTTTGTTAAAAGAAATTAAAAAATAAATCAAACCAAATGTCTGAGTAGCTGCTGGGACTTCACTGCTGGCCATAGCCATGAAGGGTTCTGTATTTCAGGCCATGTTCTGGCTGTCCTAGGGACTATTGCATAGTGTTTTTATATTTCTGCAGTCTTATCATCAAATATAATTAGCAAAAGTTAACAAAACATTCCTTAATATTGTCTTAGTTTCACATGGTCTTTAAGAAGAAACACACAACTTCTAACAACACGACAGCCAGATTACTGAGGATTGCAGAACTTAATCCATTTTGCTTCTCCTACTCAGCAGAATATTCAAGCACAGGCAAACTATTACCTAAAGTACAAAGGTAAGCACAGAGAAGGTTCAAATGTTCTCGTCTAGGGTACAAACAGTTGGAAAATTACTCATTAGGAAGATGATATTCTATTACCTTGAAGATGGAGGGAAGCCTCTTGGGAGTACTCTTCTTGCAGCGTTTCAGAAAGGAGGAATAAGCTGTCAAAAAGAAATCCTGTATTAGTCAGAAGGTTTAGATTTGAAATTATAGCCTTCTGGGTATGTTCTTACAAATACAACTCTGTTTATTTACAGGTGTTCCCAGCTCTGTTATATTACATATTAGTATGCAGGTCAAAGGGCATGAGACAGCAAAATTAGACACCTCCTTCCTGCTTACTCACAGACACAAAAGAGCAAGGCCAGCCCACCATACCCCACGCTTTAGTGGAAGAAACTGATGTTAGACAGTTCTGAGAAGGAAAAAAGAAAAATAAAGCAAAAAGGGATTTGAAACTTGAACCTCTGAGGCCAACTCCCAACCCTGTATTTCAACACTAGGGCTGGATGTACTCCTACGGGAAATGGTAAGTATTGGTAGCAGTCTTAAAAAGAAACCAAATCCAAGTTCACTTTGTCTCCCTTGGCCAAAAATGGTAGCATGGGAGGTGCCCTAAGGTGCTATTGCTTAAAATGAGAATGTATTGGGGAACCTGCAGTGACCCAGGGCTTCCTGTCCTTCCCCAGACACAGAGCTCCTCACTACTGCACTTTGTGAGCTACCACAGCCAGTCTGTGGGATTTTCTTTTCCTCTCGTATATTGTTTGCCAACCACATCTTTATTGATAAAATACAGTGGAATTCTAATATATCTGATGAAGAATACCCATAAGAAACAACCAAAAATAACCTGCTAGCCTGAAGAGAAGAGCATAAATAACATGCCACAGGCCAAATTTAAATTTATCTTATCTTAATTTTTAAAAGACCTTTTAATCACATATGTTACCTAACATCCACTACATGCCCATCTTGTCACACAGGTCCTCTCAGGGCAGGTGTGCCCACTGCCTCCAAGAAAACACTACTAAAGCTTGAAATATATCAGGCTTGAATAATCCATTCCTTTGAGGCTTTGCTCCATTCCAGCTTTCTTAACAGGTTGTTCAGAGCCTTGAACAGTTGAGTGTCTGCACAGAGGGAGATTTCACAGCTTCTCTGGGAAATCAGTTCCAGTATTTGACAACCTTCACTGTAAGTTTTTTCCACTTGGAATTTTTTTGGTTATAACTCCTATTATGTGTTCTTAGGCTGTGCACATCCCTGTCTTTACAACCACCCAGTAGGGAGCTGAAAAGAGCAATATTCAATTATTCTGCTGGGACAGTAAAGTAAATAGTGCTGGCCATAGTTTTCTGTGGTTAAAGAGATTATTCTGCTCTGATGACTTTGTAGCAGTCAACATTAGATTAGGAGAAAGGGGAACTTCACTGAGCTGGAAGGCTGATGCTCCAGAAGTTCCTCCATCCAGCAGTGCTGACACCTTTGCATGTGAACAGCTCCAGAGCAGAGCACTGTAGAAAATGTGACTCTGCTTTGAGTTTTTAGGAGAAGGAGTTACTACTTGACTGAGTCACATATTCTGTGCTTTTAGGAAAGAGTTAAAGTTACAATCACATTTCCAGTACTCTTTTAAAAATAATCAATTTATGATAGAAGGCTGGCCTGGGCAAAGATTTCCAGTTCAAAGAAGAGCTGCCACATTTGCTTACCCTCTGTTTCAGAACACTGCCTTTATTAAGCCACTTTTCAGGATAAAATTCTACATTATTTACATTAAACCCAGAAAAATTTGGATAGAGTAGGTTTTCCCCAACATCTCATTACCTACTCTTTTTTTATTCTGTAATGTCTCTCCTGATTCAGAATACACCAAATACATTAAAAAACCATTTGTGTGACCATGGCTGTTTCAGCAAACAAAAAAGCCATTCAGCTGCTTGGCACTGCTCTCGTGTTGGCATATTTTACAGCCCCAAATCAACCACTGAAGCTCTCAGCTGCCGGCAGCTATTTCCAAATATCAGCTACAACTAGTACTGCCTAAAAAAAAAGTTCCTTTCCAGTTATTTCAAATTAGTTAACACAAAATTTGATCCAAAGCAAATTCTCAACCCTAGAATAAAAGTAATTGCTCTTCCAATCAGTCTCTTGACATTAAAGGGGAAACACATTAGTCAAACAAGAATTCTAATACATTTTTTTATATTATTATTTCCATGTAAAACTTCATTTGCCCAAAAACTGTTAATTAAGTCACACATCTTGCTTTCACTGAATTTTCCACTTCTGGTACTGAAAAAAAGCTAGTTTGTCTAAGTCATGTTTTAAAATGCTCAGTATAATCTGAGTATAATCTGAAAAAAACCCTGCTGTATTTTTTAATATTTTTTAAACATGCGAATTATTATTTATGCCCCATGCCTGCTGTTCTGTTATACTTCTTGTGCCCAACAGCCTCAAGCTGAGGCAGCACAGGTGCCCTTTCCCTGCACTGCATCCTTCTTCCACAGACCTGCATGGAAGGTGCAGCTCAGAACAGCTCCATCTGCTGTGATGGACTGGCTGCCCACCCCAGCTCCTTGGGATTCCTCGTGCCTGCCTCCTGAAGCCTCTGGTGCAGGTCTTACTTCACTGAAATCAACCTTTATAATGACATAGACAGTGGAAAACTGCTCCTGGGAGAAAAAAGGCTGTCACTATGTGTGACAGTACAGAACGTAGAGAACAAAGAACACAGGACCACTTACCTGGTCACCTGAACAGTTGCATATCAGCCATTCTGTGTAGACAGACACAGGACCAGACGTGGTGTTTGATGTCCTACCAAGCACTGCACGGTTTTAGGGGAAACCCTGTTCCTAGAAAAGCTGACAATGGACTTCACACAGACATGACATTGCCTTTTAATGACTTCCTCAAAGTCTCTATCATATCTTTTCAAGCACCCTTGAACTCTGGCTGCCTGTTCTTTGCTCACCACCTGCTGATGGTAGCCTAGGAGAGGTCCTTGTGTCTATTCAGAGCCCAGAGTTCAACTCCTCACTTTTCACTACTGCTGTCGAAACTTTATGAGGGTTTAGGCAAGGGCAATGGGGGTGTGTTTCTAAGCAGGAGCTGCCTGTCCCCTCCCAGACAAGTCATGTGAAGCCAGTGCCATGTCACTGTTAGTGCTGGCAGTGTTCCCCGTGTGTATGTGCATGCTGTTACTCAGTTAAGCACGTGGAATACATCTCTGCATACCTGTAAGTTTTTCATCGTTGTACCTGAGAACAAAAAAGCCACCAACACGATAAAGGTAAGTAGTTTTTATAATTCACTAACTCATGGCTGGAGCACAAAATAGCTACTGCCAGTGCAACTGAATGGGTCAAAGGTGTATTTGTTAAAAGCAATAAGGGTTACTGTGGAATTTGGCAAAACAACAGCAGTTCAGTTTTCATGTTGTTGTACTAAGTCTAAAAATTACTCCAGCTCTGTTGCTACACAGTGCCCTCAACCAGTAACAGGCTTTGCTTGCATGGGTAAGGTGAAGACACACATAGGTTAGCATGTGCTTGGGCTCAGTTGTCTTTAAACATGATGTTTACAGACCATAAAGTGTGTAATTATGGTATTGCAGAGAGCAAGATGTAATTTACAGCAGCATTGATCTTTCTTATGCAAATGTGGCCCCAATCTGTTACTTAGCCCATAAATAGTGCCCTGTTATGAACTAAGCTCTGAGAACTGAGGGTGTTACTATCAGAACTTTCCAGATCTATTTTTCCACAGGAGGAAAAACAGGGAATACCACCTCTGCCTCACAGTTAGCCTTGTTTGCCCTTCACAGGTGAAGCAACACATGCTTTTTCTCAGTAACACCTTATGCCAGCAGAGCTGGAACTGCAGAGAGCACTGCAAGAGTGAACAGCGTTTAACACTGTTAGTGTTTCCATCCTCACTTTCTCTTGCCTAATTCCAACTATTCCCTGGTAGGGACAGAAGTTGTAATTCTTAGCTGTTGCTACTAATTTGTATTTATCACACAGAGCAGGCTCAACAGAGAGGAATGTGATTCCTTCAAACTATTTACGCACGTGCAGAGGAGGAAGTGGAAATGAGCATCTCAAGAGAGGGGTGCCGTAAGGATAATGTCCTCAGCTGATCTTTGGATTTGAGCTTGCAGGGGGAGGGCTGTTCATCCAACAGCCAATAGTAGGTGATAAGAGTGAATTTCAGTGTTCCTTTTGAACCAGTGCTCAATTCCAACATGGTGATCTCTGAAATATTCATACCCATAGGGACAGCTCAGCACATTAGTCATAGGGTTGTAAATGCCGTTTATCTTCTGCTGCAATTTTGTGTCTAGCCCAGGTTGTCACTAATCAAACTGCTGCTTCTGCCTGCCCTGTGCTGATGTCTCCACCAGACACCCCAAAGCTGCTGCAATCTTTGCTGAGCCATGCAAGAAGTCTGATTTCTTCTGAGCAAAAAAGCTTTTTGATCAGACACTTCATAATACAACTTTGTTCACTCCCCACAGTTTTTGTAATAGTCACTGGCTGTCTCACTGTTTGAGAGGAACATGAGGGGAAAATCTATGAAGTATCTTTCAGGGGACTGGACAAGCCCATACTGATCATTCCTCTAAGGCTGAAGAGGAATCTGAACTTGGCACACATCAACCACTGCCTAATTAATTCCCTGCATTCTGAACCAGATTTCTCACCCTCTGCCAGGGCATGTGTGCCACCACCTAGCACTGCAGTGGCTGCTTTGGGAGCACCTGTGGAACAGAAGGGTGAGGAAAACATAAATTCACCTTTCAGGATTCCCACAAGTAAGTTTTCTTGTGGTGCTGTAAGCTCTAAAGAAAAGGCACAACAGAGGACGTGCAGCTCAAGCTGCCCAGTGTGAAAATGTTGAACTGAATACCTTTATTCTACCTTATAATGCAGCTCTACACTCATGGGTAGATGTGAGGACTCTTCAAGACTTTCTTTGGAGTGCTGGAGCAGGAGGCAACCTTGGTAACCTCCAAATACAGAAATGATGGGACTCTTTAAAGAGCAGGGTGCCTCTTCCAGCTATTCTGCATCTTTATTAGCCATGTCATGTTTGAAAAAAATTCTGATCTCATCAAGCAAAATGTGTCTCCAGCTCTTCCCACCAGTGCTTGCAAACATCCTTGAATGGCTTTTTTTTTTTCTTAACAGACAGATTTTTACACACTACAAATGTAATTTATCACAGGTGATTATTGCCTGCAACACATTTTTATTACAGTACCAAGGCACAGATATTTACAGTGGCCTGAGGAGATGCATCTTCCTTTTTCCCCTGGATTCAACATCCCTTCAAGCCCGGGTTTACGAGCAAGAAAAATGACTCTGAACTCTTCTGGGAAATAAAAATTTCACCTTATATTTACAGGGTGCTGTAATCCAGCCTGCTGAATTTACCTGCTAACAACACAGATTTCCTTGTACAAAACCCCAGACTCAACTAACCACAGGAAGAAAGGTGATTACTTTCTGGCAGTGTAGTATATTGTATGTTACATAAATTGCACAACACCAGAGACTGCAGAGCTAAGGCAAAACAGTAACCCTGCATCATCCCTGAAGATAAACTCTGAATCAAAATAATGCTCAATAAAGGGAATGTACCAAGATGCTGACAGCAGCAAGGTCACTTAACACAGCAAGACTTGAAAAACCCTCTTCTTTTCTAAAGGCAACATTTCTGCTGAGGAATGAACATTAAACCTGAGACACTGAATGGTGCCTGACGTGTGAAAGATATCAATATCTGCTTTTCCAGATACTTTGATCAAAATGCTGGGCAAGTAGCCGAGATTCAGGGAAAGACTCCCATATGGTGGGCAGATAATCCAGTACCAGAACATATATATTTATAGAAGCATATACATATTTTACAGTAGATGCAACCTTGTCCAGAAGGAAGGCAGTCTAAAAGGAAAGAAATACTATCTAAATTTAATTAGTAGACGAGCTTCCAAATGAATTGCCTATCTGCCATCAGCATCAGCCAGCAAAGCAAGTGTTGGCAGCCGTGTTACACAAGCAGTAGCTGCCTTACCAGCTACAACCTTCTGTTGCTAACGTAACTTAAATTCCATTCCTGGAACAGGAGAAGCCAGACTAAAAGTCTGCAGGTGTAGTAGGAACTTAAATGACTTTTATGCCCCTGCAGGATGAAGCAAAACTTGCTCCATTAATGAGCTTGATACGCACTACACCATAGGAGCAAGGCGTGCCAGGCCAGCAGCGTTTGCTCTCTGGGCTTTAGGGAATCCCCCTTGGAAACCGAACCCTCATCCCGCTCCCACCCTGCGCGCCCCTGGCCTGGGAGCCCGGGGGGGCTCGGGCCTAACCCCGACCCGGGGACCCCCTCACCTCCCCTTGGTGAGGGAGGGGCGGCCGCTGCTTCTTTCGGGAACGCTCAGCCAGGGCCCGGCGCAGCCCGTGTCCTAAGGGATGGGGGTGCTGGGGGCTCCCCATGCTGGAAGCCCATCCCAGCCCCGATGGGCGTTATGGCGACGCTTCCCTCAAGGCGCAGAGGCACCCTCCCTCATCCCTGCCCCCCCCTCCCACGGAGTTTGGACTCGCCCACTGTTCGGAGCGCGGGGAGCCCGGGCGAGCCCATTAGCTGCGCTGCGGGGGGGAAGGCAGGAGGAGGAGAGACACGAGCCGGCATGGGCTGGGCGCATGCGCAGTGCGGGCACCGCGGCCGCGCGCAGTAACGTACCCGCCCTCTCCCCCCCCCGCCTCTCCGCGCGCGCCGCCGGGGCTCCGCCATCTCTCGCTCTCTCTCGCGAGAGGCAAAGCGGCGCGAGACCCGGAAGCGCCGCCCCTCGCGGCGGGGGGCACTCGGAGCCATCGCGGTTGCGCGGGGCGAGAGCGGCGCGTCCCGGCCGCGGCTGCCGGGAGGTACCGGGGAGCGGGACGGGCGGGCAGCAGCGGGACCGGCACTGCGGGTGCAGGGCTGCGGCTGGGGTTGAGGGGGCGGCGGCGCTGACGGCGGCCCTCCCGCTTCCCGGCCGCGGTGAGCCGTGTCCGGCCGCCCCCGGGCTGTGAGGGGGGCCCTGAGGTGACCCCGGGCCGGGCCGGGCTGTGGCGGAGCGCTCGTCCCTCCGGGTAACTGGTGGCGCAGGGCCCGGCCGGGCGGAGCCGGAGCCCTCACTCTGGGAGCGGTTCGCCGGTGTTATTGCGGGAAAGGGGCAGCAGCCGGTGGCTCCGGCTGAAACAGCGCTGCAGTGTGGCCCCAGTTACATCAGAGCGGGATGGAACCCCGGAATGGGTTAGAGGGACCGCTGTGGGTCACCTGGTCCAGCCTCCCTGCTCAAGGAGGGTCATCCCAGAGCGTGTGGCACAGGATTGAGTCCAGACTGTTCTGGAGTATCTCCATTGAGGCAGACTCCAAAACCTCTCTGGGCAACCTGTTCCCGTGCCTGGTCCCTGCACAGTTTTTGCTCATGTTGTTTCTCACGTTCAGGAGAAGCTTCCCGTGCATCAGTTTCTGCCCATTGTTTCTTGTCCTGTCGATTGGCATCACCAGGATGAGCCTGGCTCCATCTTCTTGGCACCCTCCTTGAGATATTCATACCCACTGAACCTCGTGCCAATGAGTGTTCTCTCTAATGCATTCTGTTGTTGTGTTTAAACAATTGTCTTCATCACAGAATCACACAGGGGTTTGGATTGGAGAGGACCTTCAAGATCATCTCATTCCACCCCCCTGCTGTGGGCAGGGACGCCTTCCACTAGACCAGGTTGCTCAGAGCTCCATCCATCCTGGCCCTGAACACTTCCAGACATGGGGAAATAGTTGAGGGTTACACATGAGGATTCACTGCCTGCACGTCTTGTGCCCAAAGTGTCAAAGCTTATGCCAGGAAAAGGAAGACGGGGATAATGATTCTTTACATAAATAACTGGACTGTTGATTGTGCAGATGCTCTTGATTTCATTCAGCATGTTTACAGAAAGTGATAAAGAAAGAAAACTTGGTCTAAACTTTAAACGGGTTATTTGAAGGTGGAAAAGGAAGTGTGACTGATTCCTACAGAGCATTTATTCACATGTCACTCTTCCTTCACTTAAAGCATTATTTATTTATCTCTTTAATGCAGCACACTGATAAGATTGCACAGCTCGTGATCCTGCACTGTCATTTGAGTTCAGCATCAGCTGCCTTTTTTCTGGTCCCTGCAAGATGCCAGCAGCCCTTGCAGAGAACAGCCAGGTTATCTGTGAAGTATGGGCCAACAACCTGGAGGAAGAGATGAGGAAAATTCGGGAGATTGTTCTGAGTTACAGCTACATTGCCATGGTAAATGTTTTATACTTGACCTAATCGCCTTAGGGGATTTTTTGGGGTTGTGGACTAAGTTGATTCTTGGGTGAGAAATGATTTCTCCCTACCCCCAGTCAAACTGAACTAGAAGAGGTGAAAAAATAAAAAGCTGTTTGGTAGATTTCCAAAATTTAATACAAGCAGTGCTGAGTATGGGTTGATTGAAGGAAGGGGAGGATAGAGACCAACTTAAAAACCTGAATTTATTTGATATTTAGCTATTCATAGTGTATTAGTTTGTGCAACTGGAAGATGAAGCAAGTCACTATTGGGTTTAAATCCTTGTTTTTCCACCAGTGTGTTTGTCCTTTGAGTGTTTTTCTCCATTTGATTATAGGAGATGCCATGGGACTGGAGGTCAAAAGGCCTGCAAGTGACTGCTAGCCAGCTGGGCTGCCTCCTTTCTAATGAGGGCAGATGTTGATTCTTAGGGAAGAAAAATATTCTGGCTGTAGATAAGACAATATGTTCAGAAAGCTTTATTTAAAGAGAGTATAATCTCCCCCAGGTGGGAGGAATCTCCTCCTGCTTGGCAGCAACCCAGTGTGTTAGATAAAGAACTGGTTTTAGTTGTGATACTGTAAGTTCTGCCAGCTCTGCTTAGGAGCACTGAACCTCAAGATATGAAAAGTCCTCATTAAAAGCGTGGCAAAAGACAGGTGCCTTTGCAGAGTGTGTGGGGTTTTGGTGTCAAATTCAGCTGTGGAAGTGAATATGATTTTTTTTGTTAACATTTGTCAATGGGAAATGAACTTTTTGCTTTTTTTCAGTCTCATTGAAAGTGTTCTTATGGTTTGAGTGACTGTGCTATAAGAGTAGACAGATAAACCTCTTGGGCAAGGGAGAGATTGTGTCAGGTGCACTGCACTGGGTTTGTTGTGAAAGATTTTGTGTGTAGTCAGTAGAAGCTCAGTGACCCAATCTGGGGGTAGAAACAGTATGGCAGTTTGGTGTTCAGCAAAGACAGCACACAGTCACCGGCTGAGTAAGAGGTTTTTCATCTGAAAGGTGGTTTTTCATCTAAAAGGTGTTTTTTCATCTAACAGATGGCTGCTGTTGTTGAGGTGTGTTTGACTGACAGTAGTTTTTGTTGATGTAGGCATTGACTGTTCCTCAGAAGCAGAGAAGGGTTTCACTGTCTGGGCTGTCCTAACAGAGTGGTAATAGTGGCTCCTAAGGGAATCCATGGTGAAGCTCAGTTTTCCCTTCTGTGCCAGGACACGGAGTTCCCCGGCGTTGTCGTCAGGCCGATCGGTGAATTCCGCAGCTCCATAGATTACCAGTACCAGCTCCTTCGCTGTAACGTTGACCTGCTGAAAATCATCCAGCTGGGCCTGACTTTCACAAATGAGAAGGGGGAATATCCTTCTGGCATTAACACCTGGCAGTTCAACTTCAAATTCAACCTCACGTGAGTCTTTGGGCTTGGCGTTGATTTCCTGTTCCTTCTGCTGGAGTGATGCTTTCCTTTGGCAAATACCGGTGTCCATGTGTTCTCACTGCTGGCTGCTTCTGAGCCATAAGGATTCAGACTCTAGTACTGACTATGTGGGAACCTATTTTGGAGTGCCAGAAGTTAACAGTGTATTGGAAGTCAAAGCCATGCAAAAATTCTATCCTTATTACCCTTGCTCTTGATAATTTTGTATGCCTTCTTTTTTCTGGAACAGTGTTTGAAACTTCATATATATATCTATGTAAAATTCCATCTCTTTCTGCTAAAAATAAATGGATGTGCTGGTCTCATCAAAAAGAAAAAGACCTCTTTACAGATCCATGCTTAAGTATAAGCTGGGATCTAAAAACATGTTGGTGTAATCATCACATCTGTTCAGGAGAATGAATCTTGTTAAATGGAGTGTGGCAGTTCTTGTCTCCTGCATACTGTAATATCCTGGGTTGCAGCTGAAACAAGTTTTATTATTCCTTCCCCTGTAATTATAAAGATAAACTCAGCATAATTACCACTAGAGCTGTCTGGAAATAAAGAAAGGGTTTATCTGGCAAAACCACATATGTAGGAAATCTATTTTTATGAAACTGTCGTTGGAAAGCATTACAAAAATTTGTAGCTACTATGTGCAGATCATCCAGTTCTTGACCCCAAAAGTTGCACTATTTACTCCACAAATTTTGAGCCTCTTAAAGGTATTGAAATCCGAGTGGAGTAGTTATTGCTGTGTGATCATTTCATTTAAATGAGTTATCATATTGATAGAACTTGGCTCTGTGTGTTTCCTCCCCCTCAAATGACACAAACCAGTAAAGAAGTCAGGTTCCTGCTCAGCTCTCCACCAGGCACATCATTCTTGTCCTGCTTCCTGAGTCAAGGATGATGCAATTCTGTTTACTCCCAGAGATGGAAGTGGAGGTGCTGATAAGGTGGTACATTCTGTGGAGTGAAAAGGAAAAATGTAGACAGGAATGATGGTCAGTGCTTTAGAGATGCACATCTTCCTGTGTGGGAGAACTCCCCTTTCCTGTGGGCCTCATCTGAGGTGCTCCCCTTGACCTTGCAGAAGGGACATCGTTCAAAACAGTCAGTTATGGAGCTGGAATCTTTGGAATCTGTAGCAGCAATGGAAGTGTTAACTACTTATGATCACAGAACAGCTTGTTGGCTGTAGGAGCCTGCAGTAGTGGTATTGAAACTGAGCCAGTTTGAATTTTCCAGAGAGACAAACTGGACCCAGAAGTATCCTACTGGTTAGTCCAATTCTTGACAAAGTGTGGGGAGAATTTTTCTACAATGAGCTTGTCTTGGCAGTACCCTGAGTGCAAACTTGCTTTTTTTTTTTTCCTTCAGGGAAGACATGTACTCTCAGGATTCCATAGACCTCCTTGCCAGCTCTGGGCTGCAGTTCCAGAAGCATGAAGAGGAGGGGATTGATACCCTGCATTTTGCTGAGTTGCTGATGACGTCGGGGGTCGTCCTCAGTGACAGTGTGAAATGGCTGTCCTTCCACAGGTGGGTCCAGGATGTTCACTGACCCTGTTAAATCTCTTCTTAATTCCCTGCATTTTTCATGGAGATTGACAGATTTTAAGGAGAAAAATTAGCAGTCCTGCAGTTCTTAAAATAAGCTTCAAGATATGGAGGCCAAGTTTAAGAAGTAAGGACACTTCCTGACTGCTTGTGAATCCTTTTGCTGTTACAGTCTCCCTCTCTTGAAGAAGTTGAAATGTGATTTCTGCACTTAGTA